ACTAATACTCAAGTGGAGGGTGCCCTCCATTCTCATATAGATGACATTTTTTGTCTAGATAGGAAAGTAGACATATAGCTCTATAGTTGATGTTTTCTCAGCCTCCTTTTTTTGGTATCGATAAGAGCTGAGAGTTTTCCCATGCCTTTGGTTTCTTCTCTGCCTTTAGATACTCTGTCAATCAGTCCCTCAATGCCTTGCCTCCACAAAGATCTCTCTATCTGATCCAATTCAGCTGCTTTTCCTCTCTTTGGTGCCATTTTTGCTTTGAGACACTGTTATACTCTATAGGGTCCAAGTGTGGTGATTTCACTATTTTTGATATTTGTTATAAATCTTTTGCATTTTTCTTCCCTTTGTAGTAATCTCTCCATTTTCATCACTGAATGCCCTTTGTATGATTTTGCTTAGCAAAATATCTTGCAAAGCATTTTGTAGACTTTTTATCTTCTGCTTCCTTCCAGTTTACAAGATTATATTATTCATAATCATCCATTATCATTTGTTGTAAGATTATACTGACAGGTTTACAATCTAACCAAGTATTGTCTTTGGTAACCATGTCTCTCCATCTGGTAAGCTGAATGTTTACTGATAAGGTGCTTTCTAGGCTCTTTTGGTCTCCCTGTTATAACAAATAATTTATACTGTTTTAACTTTAGATAAATTATTATGTCAATTCAGTTGTCCATTTCCAATTTTTATTTTCAATATCTTATTTAAATAATCCAGGGTTAAATCTTAACTGTATGTCATATTTTTCCCAATATGATTCTTTATTCTTCTTTATTACAAATTCCAATCCTAGCTCTGATGAGTTGATGTGATGAATTCCATGTCCATAATAAGACTTTTCTTGTGTGTTGAAATAAGGTCAATTTCATTCTTTACATGTCATTTGGTGCTAATCACGCATAGCACCTACCAATTCTTTTTTCAAAGTATTCATGATATAGAGGTCTCAAGCTTCTGGATAATATACAAGTCTTTAGTCTCTCTCATTTCTTTCTCTTGAACCATATTTTTCCATACATTTCTCCCCATCCTCACTTTTCCCCACCTTTATACTGAAGTCACCAAATTATTGGAACACATGTTGACTTGATTTTGAGAGCCTTATCAAATTCTTCATAGAATTTCTCTACCACTTTGTCCTTGGCAACCAATATTGGTGCATAAACTGCAATTATTTTCATAGTGTTAGTACTACTATGTTAAATTTAATGTATACTTTTAAAAACAAACTTTAAGGTCACAGAGATTCCTGGCTCATATATCATCTTCTGTTTCTTGTACTTCTTTTTATATGGAAATGTCCAGGTTTATTAACATTTGTCAAGTTTATAATAAAAAGTAAAATTTTGGGAAAAAAAGCAAAGTATTAAAACAAAGTCTTTAGAGATCATTTAGTTCAACTCTTTATTTCACACTTGAGAAAACAGAGGCTCAGGAGTAGAATAACATGCCTATAGTCAAACAACGAGTTTGCAGCAGAATTTGCACTGGGTTCCTGGTTTTCTGACTCCTAGTTTAATGCTTCTCCCACCATGTCATGTTGCTTCTACTTACTTGGTTAAGCATTACCTGACGACCTCATATTTTCTGTTATGAGACTATATTACCTAAAATACTTTACAATCCGTAATGAGTGCTCTAATCCCAAAGATTTATAGCAAAATTCTAAGTAAAAGGATGTACTTGGGTAAAAATAATAAGCAAGCAAAACAAATGGTAGGTAGACATTTCACTGAATCACATTCTTCCCTGGTTGTTAATAGAACATAGGCTTCAGAAAAAGACAGTGCTTCATTTCATCCTTTCCATATCTCCAGAACCATAAACTTACAGACCACTCACTCTGCTTCAGGTTTACATCAAAGTGGCCTACCACATGGTCACCTTTGCCTTTCAACAACTAAGACTTAATAATTTCTTCAGATTTCTCCTGGGAGACAAATGCTCAAAATCCTATGTTGCTGAGTTGCTGTCATCTAAACACATAACATACACATGCACGATGCCAATAAGTATAGTAAGTAGGATGCAGTATGATTTTAGGGTGATTAAAGATTAAAAACACAAAAATAAATACTCCGGATTAAAAATATCTCACTTTCACTCTGCCTGAAATTTTCAGCATCAATAACCCTGAGCAGAAAACCTTGAACATAGGTTACCAATAGCCTATTCTTAGTTTTCCTTTCCTTTAGTCTCTCATAACAGGACATTATTAATTTTTCTTTTCTCCCTTGATTTCCCTGACATCACACTATTCTGGCTTTCTGCTCAGAAGCTACCTCTCTCCTTCTCTTGCACATCTTCCTCCATCTACTCCTTAAGTATAAACATTTACCATGGCTCAGTTCTCTGTAGCAAAATGAAGTCTGGACTGGATGGTCTCTAAGGTACTCTCAATATTTAAATGAATCTTTGATCTCATTGATTTGGGAGATTCCTGAAAACAATGTAGAATGTAACCCATCGATTCATACCAATGGCTTTGTGAGGCAAATTATGTAACTCTCATCCATGTCCTCTCAAAATTTCACTACAGGAGATCCTCTAATGTGCTGGGGGCTTTCTTAGATTTTTTTCCTGATATCACAAGGGTATTGTATAGACACTCCAGTCATCCACATGTTATTCCTTGTTCTCACCCACATGATAAAAGTATCTTCTCTTCCTGTCATATAGTGAATGACCTTCAAATTTACTGCCTTCTTATCTTACATTCTATCTCCAGCCTTGATCTCTTTCCTTAATTCTACAATTGCATACTTCCAATTGCCTGCTATATTTTTTCCATTGGACGTCTTACTATCACTTTAAACTCAACTTCTCTAAAGTTGAACTAAATCTTTCTCCAACTGGCCTTAACTTCCTTAATCCTGTCAAAAAGTATTCTTATTCATTCAAATACTTACTAAGTACAACACTATAAATAAGGTGCCGTGCTAAGGGCTATGGCTCCCAGAGTCAAAACCTTAGTTTCAACCACTGATACCTCTTCTTCATCTTATATTCTTCCTTTGCAATTATATCTCAGATCTTTCCATTTTTTTCATTCCCATTGCCAACATCCTGATCTGACCCCCTCATTACCTAAATAACTGTCTCCATATCTCCATATCACTCCTCCTTGCAATCTTGCCTGGTACCTAACAACAGCATAAGATCAGTCTTCTTAAAACATATTTTTTATCATGTTCCCTTGCTACAAAGCTTTCAATTATTTCCCATGGCTTACAGGATAAAGTTCCAATTACTAAGCCTGGAATCCAAGGTCCTCTACAATTTAGTCTTAACCTGTCTTCACTGTTCTTCCTGATTTGGAAGAGGCACTTCGGGGTCAATTAGTAGAACAATTTGACTGAAATGGAGAACTTGTATAGAGAAGTAGCAGAAGATAAGGTTGTGATGGTTGGTTCACGTGAACTGTCACATCATAAAGGCACAAGCCTGGGTGGCTGAAAGAAGCAATAATCATGGAGGACAATACCAATAACTTGTATTTATATAGTACTTTTGCTTTTATATATATTAATCAATTTGAATAGGGCTTCTAAGTTCTAAAAATAAACTTTACTATTCTACTCAATTACACAATCACTCAGGGATTCTGGTATAGTGGATAGAAAGTTAATCTCAGAGTCAAGAAAACCTGCGTCCAAATTTCACCTTTGACACATATTGGCTGTGTGACCTTGGACAAGTCACAACCTCTCTGTGTCCCAGGCAATTCACTAAGACATTAAGTTGCAGAGCAAGTAGAGGGGGTTTCTATATGAGGAATTCCTTACACCAAAGAGATCACATTCCAATTTAAAAAATGTATTTATTAAAACTCCTCAAAAAGTTGAAAGCCTAAAAGTCTCTTTCCCAGAGAAAAAGAAATATGCAGCGGCACATCATCTTATATTATTCAGTGGATCTCTCTTACATCCCCCAGTATGCACATCCCACCCTTCAACACCACCAGAGGGGAACACAACTAAAATAAGTTATATAGAGAATCAGGCAATATATAATCTGACCCCTTCTCCCCAAACTGTGCATATCACTATAACAAGGAATCACACTACCTACCGCCCTGCAAAAAGATATTTTGTTCTACTATAAAGACAAATACATAAACTAAAGAAAAAGCTGAACACACTCTTCCAATGTTAAGTAGGCCTACAAACTGAAGATCTGTGATATGACTTCACAAAAGTATATGTACAACCAAGTTTAAATTTTAGAGGGGTGGAACTGGAAGAAAAGGGAATTATTCAAACCACAAAATCCGCAGGGTGTCACATCAGAAAACTTACTGGCTGCCCAACCAACTTGTCTATCTAAAACAGTTATGAAACCAAAAGTAATCCTCATGAATAGCTCTTCTCTCCGCCCCACTTCCAACCTCCTTTTTCCACATTCTACCTCTCCAACAAAACTTACCCTCCCCACTTGCGGTTCTTGTCTCAGTCAGAAAATAAATGAAGTCTATCAACCTGACAGTTTAATAACCACCTAGCATGTGTAAGAAAAAGAACAGAAGGGTAAATCTACCCCGGTTTTAAAAAAAAGGTGGGGGCATTAAAAAAAAACATCAGAAAGCCTTCTAACATTTCTAACATGGTACTAGAAAACTCAACGACGGCAAGATGAACATATTTGCAAATATCTATCTTTCCTTTCTTGAAAACATTCCGCTCGGCCAGATAAAACCTGAAACTTTATAAAGTCTCAGAGCTTGGGAGGGAAAGATAGGAGAAAACATTCACTTTTTTCTCTAAGCCTACAACACTTGTAAACACCAGCAGCAAATGTTTCAAAGGGGCTTCAAAGGCTATAATAAAGGGCTAACCAAAATAATTTAAGGCCAAGAGAAAAAGTACAACGCTCCGCTGGAGAGGAAGCAACTGTTGTTTCTATTATCTTCCCACACAATTATTATGGTTACATTTTTAACATCTGCTGTTAATTCAAAAAAGACACACTGCTAAGTTCATACATACCGTCTGGTGCAAGAGAGAGAAGGGCCTCCTCTGCCCAAAAGCAACAGGTCACATCTCTTTCTCTCTACTTCTGAAACTTAAACAAAGAAGCAACAGTTACTACAGATGAACACTGGAGAGGATGACTGACAATTTCTCAACTGTTTCCATATTTTAAAACAGTATCTGCTCTCACCCCACCCCCAAAAAAGAAAGAAAAGAAAAAAAGCAAGCATGGGAGTGAGAAGCCGAATGCAAATATAATGCAAATAAGTAAAAGAAAGGAAATAAAAGAGTGCCCTAAGTTTTCACCTAGATAATGAGGATTTTTCTCCAGGGTCAGAAGTTAACAGTTCTCACAAAGAGAGGAAGGTGGGGATCAGAAGAAGAGGGTAACAAAAACTCTTCCCCTACTCAGTCACTGGGCAATCAGCCCCAGAATAAAGTCATTAAGACCTCAAGAGGATTGGGAGTTGGGGGGGGGACAAACAGGGGTGTGCGGTTCCGCGGAAGGAGGCCGCTTACTCACCCGCTGGCTCCAGTTGGCTGCCCGTTTCCGTGTGTCCGCCTGTCACTCGGTCCCCAGCCTCGAAAAAGAGAGGAAGGAGAAGGACCTAGGGGAGAGGAGCTGAGGGAGGGAAGGGGAGAGGAGCTGAGGGAGGGAAGGGGAGAGGAGGGGAGGGGCGGACCGACCCCTCCCCCCCGAGGGCTTGGCAGAAGGGGGGTCCTGGGGCTGGGACAGCTGTGGCGGGGTTCGCCTCTGATTCTCTCAGCTGGCCCCGGTCACATCCCCGGAGTTGCGGGGGCAAGAAAGCACAGGTTCCGCACCGCTCCAGAGACAACAGCTGCAGCCAGCGCCGTCCACCCCGCCTCCCCCGGGCCTGTTCCCAGCTTGGGTCTCCGTTCCCAGGCTGGCAGAACCCAGCGACTGAGCGGAGGAGGCCGGGGCGGAGGGGAGGGGGGAAGGGAGGAGACACAGGCGCGCCTTCCGAGCCTGGCGCCGACGGGCCCACGGCGGCCAGGCGCCGTTTGCCGCGGCCGCTCCCCGTCGGCTCCTCGCTCCTCCTCAGCGCCGGCCGCGTCCTTCTTTTGAGCTCCCTCTCAGGCGAGCGCAGCAGGAAGAAGGGAGCCTATCGCCGTCATCACTCCCCCCTCTTCGGTCTCTTCCTCTTCCCCTTCCTCGTCCTCGTCGTCCTCGTCCTCGTCCTCGTCCTCGTCCTCCTCTCCCCCTAGCTTCTCCAGCGCCGCGCTAAGAACTCAGACCCCGCTTCGAGAAGCGAGGAGCGAGAGAGAAGCGAAACAGACAGACAGAGAGAAGGGGGAGTGCGCGCGCGCGCCTCCCCCGCCCTCCTCGGCCGGGCTCGCTCCCGCACGAGTCCGCGCGTGCGCGTCACGGGACAGCGAATTGGCGAGCTCGCCTGCGCCCCAGGATCCGGCCCCGCGCTAGCTGGGGTGGCTGCTAGAGGCTGCAGGGGGTTGGGGAGGAGGAGGGGAAGGGAGGGCTGCGGGAAGAGGGGGAGGGGGAAGAGCTGGGGGAAAAGAAGGAAGTGGGGGGGGGGCGCGTCAGAGACAGACAGACTGACCGACCGACCGACCGAGAGAGACCGAGAAATGCAAGCAGGGATTCCCAGGCCCGCACCCTAGGAAAGAGAAGTAGCAAGGGCAGCTCGCTCTGGCCTCAGAAGCTGAAGGGGTGGGGGGTGGGGGTAGGGTGGGGGTGGAGGAGAGGAAGGGCTAGAAGGAAGCGCAGTTTCTAACCACCCCCAGTTGGCAGCAGAACTCTAGGGGAGGAGGGGGAAGGAGGAAATTGGGCCTAGATTAGGGGTATGTTGTGGCAGGCATTCATTTGCGCCCCTCTAGTTGGGTTTCTACCCTCGCCCCGCGACATAGAGGAAGAGCAAGGCGTCGAGCAGGCTGGGGAGGCGTGGGGCGTCACCTGGCACAGGAGGAGATCCAGCTGCGACTACAGGGAGAGACTTCCTCCCTTTTCCCTCCCACTTGTTTCTTCTGGTCCTGCTGTTTTCACTTCCATATTGTGCCAGCAGCCCCCACCCTTGCGCTTCCCCACCCCAGGCGTCTTGGCATTGAGAAAAGCAGAGGGCACCTCATATTTTCCTGCCAGGCTGCAGGGAGAGCTCTTCACGTCGTTTAGCCACCTTCAGGCTTGCCCCAGGAGGTGGGCGTTGGTAGGGGCAGGGAGAAGGAGAGACAGTGAAAGTCTGGAAAATTGGCTGGAAAATAATGAAGGTAGATTCTGCCCTCCCCAGTGATGAGGCGTTGTTCATTGCACAATAGCAAGTCTGATAATACAGCTTCCTATCCGACAACGAAATAGGCTCCTCTTGTAGAAGCAGGGTAAGTCAACCAGAATTTATTAAGCACTTACTAAACTCTAGGGATGCACACTGATGCAGCAAGCTGGGATGCAAGTTAGGTTTCCACTGCAATTAATGCTTGTTTTGTCAAACAAATAAGTTAAATTTAGATTTGAATCCCAGCTCTGTTACATGCCACTGTCAACCTCTGAGTCAGTTTCCCTATCTTAGAGATTTAATATAGTTTAATGTAATGATGGGCAGCTAGGTGGCGCGGTGGAGTCAGAGCTAGGAACCTAGGTCAGAAGGAGAACCTGAGTTCAAATCCATTATCAAACAAGCTGTCTGACCATGGGCAAGTCACTTAACCTTTCTGAGTCTCAATTCCATCTTCAGTAAAATGTGGTGATAATAGCACCTACTTCACAGTTGCTGTGAAGATCAAATAAGATGTAAAGTGCTTTGTAAACTTTAAAGTATGATGTAACTACTAGATTATTATTAATATAGTAATATTAATCTCTGATATCTTTTCTCATTCTAAATCCTATGACTTTCTTCTAGACAACCCTTAAACTGAAGTAACTAAAGATCTCTTAATTACCAAACCTAGTGGCATTTTTTAGTCCTCATAATTCTGCTTCATTTCATACTACTGATAGAGCTCTCTTTACTATATTTTTGTGACACTACTGACTCTTGATTCTCCTCCTACTTTTCTGAACTTTCCTTCTCAGGTTCCTCTGTTGGATCATCATCTACACCCTGGTCACTAATCCTGAGGGTTTCTTTTCACTACCTTTCCCTCTCCCATCCCAACCCGGTCTCTGTTCTTGGCCCTCATATACATACTCTCTCAAGAGTGTATACATACACATACACAAACACTCTTAGTGAGTATACATTCTCAAGAATCCTATTAGCTCCTATGGATACATGTGCATGTAGATCTAGTCTATATTGAGATAAGGTCCCACATTATCAACTGCCACTGGATGTCCTCTGTGCATCTCAAATTCAACATATCTTTCCCCAAAAACCTACCCATCTTCCTAACTACCATATTTATGTCAAAGGCACCATGATACTTCCAGTAACCCAGGTTCCCAACTTCAGAATCTTCTCTGACTGCTCTTCATCACACTTCATATACAATCCATTGCCAAGTCTTAACAATTCTACCTCCATGACATCTCTAGCATCCATCCCCTTCTTTCTACTCATATGGCCACCACCCTAGTTTAGGTCCTTATCACTTCTCACCTAGCCTATTTTAATAACCTCCCAATCGGGCTTCTTGTCTCCAGTCTCTTTCCTCTCCAATCCATCTGCCACACAACTGCCAAAGTGATATTCCTCAAGCGCAGATCTGACCATGAAAGTCTTCTACTTGGAAAACTCTGATGGCTCCCTCTTGCCATTACAATCAAATTGAAGCTCTTCTGTTTGACCTTTCAAGGTCTCCACAACTGTTCCAGGTTTATTTTACAATAATTCTTTGTTCATGCATTTTACATTTCAGCCAAACTGGCTTATTTACTGTTCTCTGTATGTGATATCACATCTCCAGTCTTCCAGCCTTTGTACAAGCTGTCCCCCATGTCTGCATACATAAAAAAATTTCTAACTGCCAAAAAAACACCCCTAAATTGAGAACTATAATTTCATTTCCAATATGCACATAGAGCTTTCCATTGTCTGAAAGGTAGAATGGAAGAAATGTGGTCCCCAGAAGTTAAACAACAATGGAAATCAGCATACATATTAGGGACTAGGCCTTCCTCCTAGCAGAAAATACAAAGAATGAAAATTAGTCTGTATCCATAAGAAGCCAAGCTATTGGAAAGAAAATTGAAAAACCAATCCAAAGAATAGATAGCTACTCAAGTATTCAAACTACAGATATTCATTGCCATCAGTTATATCACTACTCAGGCATTGCTAAGTACACAAGATGAATGCTGCCTAAATGTACTAGAGGAAAAGTTCCACTCCAACAAGTACTAATTAACTGAGTGCCTCTTATAAGCAGGGCACTGTGCTAGGCACAACTGATACAAAAACAAAACAAAAACCAGTTCTTGACCTCAAGGAGATTACATTTTACTGGAGTGGTACAACATATAAACACATAAATATATACTGGATAATTTGGGGGAAGGAGAGAGACATGTACTTTAGGAAGATTATTTTGGTGTATTTGTCAGCTTTGGAGGGTGGATTGGAGAGGGGACATTGTAAACCAGTTTAGGAGGCCATTAGAAAAAGTCTAAACAAGTAGTGACAAAAGGCTAAATGGGGTGGTGGCCATTTGCATGAAGAGAATGGAATATATGTGAGATCCATTGTGGAGGTAGGCTCAACCAGCCTTGGGCTCCATATTAGAGATGGGGGAGAATGAGTTGATAATTCCAAAGATGACAATTATTGGGGACAAAATGGGCATTTGTCCCTAATAAAAATAAGTTTATAAGGAATTGATTTTAAGGTGGAGAAAGATAATGAGTTCCATTTTGGATGTCTTTGAATTTGAGATACCTATGAGGGACCCAGGTGGAGCTATGCAACAGGCATGGTGTTGTGAAAATCTTCATAGAGATGAAAAGTTGAATCCATGGGAGTTGATCAGCTCACCAAGAAAGAAGATATAGGGAAGAGACCCTAGGACAGAGTCCTCTTTCCTCCCCTTCCATATATGGAATGCATTACCTCCTCACCTCTTTTGCCTAAATCTATAACATTCGGCTCAAGTAGTGTTTCCCCCATGGGGTCTTTTCTGATTCTCCCAGAAGATAGTGTCATTCCCTCCAAAAAACACTGAATTTACTTATATGTAGATATTGTGTCCGCTAGCAAAATGTGAGCTCCTTGAGAGCAAAAGTTGTTTCATTTCTGTCTCTGTATTTTCCAGCATTTGAGCATAGTTCCTAAAACATATATGGTAGGTGCCTTATAAATGATTTTATTCTTTTAAGTGATTGATTGGACTTTTCTCTTTATATAAGATATAATACAGACTCTCCACAACTGCATAGGAAAATGGGAAATGACCTACAATTGCTTTAAAGTAAAAGAGGGCACAAGGATTTCTTTTTTCTAGGGAGAAGTTTTATGAAAGATCCTGATCCCCATTTCTAAATTCTTATTAATAAAGTATGTTGAAAAGAGCATTATAAGAATGAAAAATAAATTGATGTTACTGGAGAGGTTCTCAGTAGATGACAAATCCAATCAGCAGTACAGATTAGAAGCAGAATATCCCAAAGCATATGAACATAGTAGAACAGTGGTAGGTAAACTGCAGCTACTGGGAGAAAGACTCTATTCAACAAAAATTTTTGGAAAAATTGAAGATCAAACTGATAGAAAATGGGTTTGGGAAATCCTCTCTTCAATGGGCTCCAAATGGATACATGAGTCAGCTCAAGTGCCAAAGCCTTTACAAGAGGCCTTCTCTGATTTTCCTTGTGTTTATGCTCCACCACCCACTCCCTAAAATGACTTTGTATTTGTTTTGTATGTGCTTTTGGATTTATGTAGGTCTAGTCCTTATCCTTATCTCTATCCATATATGTGTGTCTATGTGTGTATATATACATTATATATATGTGTAACATATACACATATACATATGT